TTTGAAAAAAAACACATTTTCGATAGTTTCCCCATTTTTGAAATTAATTTCGATGGTTTGCCAACTATTAATGGCAGATAGTAAAGCGTTCGTAACTTACTGATGGCAGATAATGAAAAAGGACTTGGCACTGCGCACTGGATGGAGCCTTCGGTTGAAATGGGGAAAAGCACAAATGCTTTTAAATGACTGACCTGCGCTTGGCTTTTTGCAGCTGTAATCAATATGCAAACAAACCATTTGCCGCATTAATTACAAAGTAATGCAGCAGCGAGCGTGAAATGTAAAAATAAACGGCAGATGCTCGCGATTTGCTTGATGACTTGCCGGAGAATTCAGCAGTGGGTCGGGCAGCTGGTCTGGGTGTTGGGGATCATTTTTGGAGGAACATATTGGGGTCAGGCCAGGGCTGAATGTCTGTGCTGAATGACCGCCATGCGCATGCCAATGATGAAGCCATTAATTTGCAATTAAATCGATGATTGCAAATAAGCGCAGTGAAATATAAGCCAACTGGCTACAAAAGGAAGGTGGTGAAAGTGGCGGCGTTGAAAAAATCCTCGAGAAGGAAGGTAGATACTTTCGGTTACAACTGCGGTGGCACTGAATTATTGACTCGTCAGTTTTGTGTATCTTGTGGGTAGAATAAATCAAATTTTTAAATATTCAGCTGTACACAGCCAGGTAAGAAAACTGCTCATTCGGCATAAGATCTTCCATCCTTCAGAGCGAAAGTTGTTTAATTTTCAGGCACTGCGGCAATACTCCATTAAATTGAATCTTAATATCGTTCCGCTGAAAGTCCTATACGGGTCTGTCTGTGTGCGTGCAGTTGGCCAAAGCGTTTTTCCATCAACTTTGGCGGCTATTCAATTAAAAATTACTTTATTTGCAATTAAATCGTATCACCAGCTTTTTACCGCCATCTGCTCCCGCCAACTCGACTCGATTTTCCAGTTTTTCCTCAGTTGTGGGCAGCCCTATTGGTTTTGTTTGTGTTGCAGCTACTGGGGCTGGAAAAACGCTCGGGTTGCATTTTAAAATGCCATTTACTATCATGACTTTGTTGCTGCTGCTGTCATTTTCCAACTTCCTTTTTCCAGGGGTAAGGGTCTACAGCAATAGCTACCTATCTATGGGGCTGGCACACAAATCACGGCAATTTATTTATGACACTATTTACAAGAGGCAAAGGGAGCAGACAACAGCTGGCCGTGGCCGCCCCATAAATGCAAGGACAACAAAATTGAGGGGCTCCCGTTTACTGAAACTTAGCCCCCCCCACCAACCACATCACCCTTGTGGGCTCCACGTGCACTCTACTTAAATAACAATTTCAATATATTGAAATTTACTTTGTCACATGAAAGCTAAACAGCTTGCACTCAGCGTCAGTCACGACAAAGGAGTCCTGGACTGGCATCGCACATACATATATATGTATATAGATATATTTTCTGGCACCATCCTGTCACCCAACCTCTGGAAAACGCCATCATGGTCGGTGGAGCGCCGTGGGATGATGACTTCTTCTCATGCCTTAGAAAGTTTGAAATGTGCTGGAATTGCGGGTTTTTATTTTATGATATTTACATTTTCATATTTATAGACTACGTCACTTTTTTACTCGTACTTCTGCAAGGATTGCCATAGTTTCGCCCAGAAGTTTGTCTCAGGGTGCAGGAGGCATTTCCAGTTCCATTAAACATAATTAAATTCAAATTGCTTCTTGGAAAAGGTGTTTGCCAATTTGCGGCTCTGGACAAAGGCGGTTTTCTTTGTCTGAGTTCTGATTCCAAAGAGCTAATCAAGTTGTGGCTTCTTTCGTTAACTCCTAGTGCATTGAAGTACATTTAGTTGGCGCTTGAAAACTGCCCGTAGAATGTATGTAAGTTATTATAAAAATAAACTGTAAATAAAACTGTGAAAATGCCTAACCATCAATTATTTTCTTAACTCATTTTGCAAGCTATTTGGGGCAAATCTCACTTGTAGCATTTTGTTTTGCTTATCAAATCTAATTGCTTATTATGGATCATTTATAAAATATGCGACATTATCTCGAAAACACTAGCTCAGCTGCTCTTCGCACTTGCTATAGCTGAGCAACGGGTATCGGATAGTCGAGTCACTGAACCACAGCGCTCTTTCTGGTTTTGTAATATTTTGTTCCACCGAACGCTGTCCGTTGGCCCTTCTCTTATTTTTTATTGTGTCCCATTTCGAGGTTGTGTGCAATTTTTAACGTGGTGCGGGTGAAGCTGAATGACGATAGGGGCTGGTCGTTTGGTTTGGTGTCGCCGTCCTTTCAAAACGACATCAGGTGTTGCACGTTGTGCAAGAGCTTATCTCAAATGATTTATAAACTTCCAAAAGTACCGAGGCCAAAGCTATTGTCATTGCATAAAATATGCTAACAGTACAGAAGTAGGAGGCTTCACATAAAAAAAAAGAATTCAAAAAATTCAAACTAAACCATGAAAAACGCCCCATGGAGGAAATTCCCGAGCATTAAAACGACATATAAGAAGTTGTCCTTGCGTTCGGTTCATGAAATTGTTGAATATAGAAGCCATATACATTTAAAAAATTTGTTTAAAAAGTTTTTTCAATATATTTTATTTGGAAAAATGTTCGTATTGCTCAATTAAATTTATGCGTTGATAGATGTTTTATGTGGGACCAAAGAAAGATGGAATGTTCGTTCTGTGAATGGAAACTGAAATCGATGTTATCGAACTTCAGAGAAACAGGCATGATTTCAATTTGATTATTTCGATGTATCGATAAGTATCTTTTCAGGGGCGTAGTCAAAGAAAGGATATCTGGGGCTATACTATACCCATTTATACCTTGTACGATAATAGAATGAAAGGCGACAGCCGCCCATCAAAAACCAGAAACTGTAATAAATTTCATTTTGGCAGTTGCGGCGCCCACGGCTCAGAAAAATAACTGAAAAACGAAAAATACTGAGCAGCAGAAAATAACATAAATTAATATTCAGTTAAAAATGTGCAAATATTTCACGCACGCATGTTGCTCCTTTTTCTTTTCCCACATCCCACGGAGATTGGGAGCGGCAGGATATGAAGGGACTGCAGGAGAAAGCGGAAATGTGTGGATATCCCCCTTTCCGCACTTTACGGTCAGTGGATTTTGTAATTCTTTTTTTCGTTCACCATTTTGTTTTTTGCTGGTCTGTTTTTTCGGGGTTAAATTTATGAATTATTTGCGCGCTTGCTGTTGAATTTATTAAATGTAAATGCCGCTTCGTCTGGCAGCCGACCATTTATTGGGGAAAAATACCGTAGCATACTTTTCTGAGCCAAGTGACTTATCTGCAGGCCAGATTTCATGTGGAGGCGAGTTGGGAGAGCTGTGAGGAACGGACGGCATGAAAAATATCGCCACGAGGTAATTTACATGCATTTTTGCTATAAATTAATGCGACTGCAGGTCATGGAAGTACCTAGAATATGGATGTGCACAAATGAGTGCCACTATGACTGCGTTTTGTGACATATGCAGTTTTTAGTGAATTTCGTCAGTGCATCCTGCTGATTATTCATAGAATTTTACACGAACTAGTCGATTTATGTAGAAACATAGAGTATTGCAAAGAAAAGAGGAACAAATGCAAAAACTGTAGTCAAATTTTATCCATGTAATTTATTGCACAAGCGTAACAAGTTTAAGTTAGGCCAGGCTTAAATAAATATCAATCATATAAAAATCTTTAATAATTATATATGATCCTGAGAACCCGAGGGACAAAAAAGTCATGTTAATGACAGGGTCATGTGAGGGGTCAAAAATGAGAAACAGAGTCCACGTCAGAAGGTGGTACGTATTACCGCAAATGAATGGCCATTTCATTTGCATGTTGGGGCCAACAGAAATGAGAGAATATCCGAAGCTAACCACAAAAATGGACTTTGCTTCATTATGCACAAACACGCCAATAAATGTAACGAGAAAGATGGTAGGAGCGAAAGGCGAGACGAGACAAACAGGATGAAGAGTCGACGAGTGTTTTTTGTAACGAAACTCTTAATCGCTCCTTTGCAGGCTTAAGCTGACAGTAACTACGTTTATGGCGGGAGTTTCCAGATCTCTCAAGAGCGTGAAAGTCCAGTTTATGCGACAGCCGAACTCGTGTATTTATTAGTTCGCAGCTGATATCAATTTTATAGTAACGAGATGCTAGCATTGAATATCAAATTTTCAACCATTTGATCGCTGTATCTCGGGAGTAAGCAACGTTTTTCGCTGTGCACACATGCACTATTTCAAAAATATTTGGGGCATACCTTTTTTAATGACTGTGACTTTGGCTGGCCAACTCGGGCCGGGCGTACACCTCTAATGGCGATTGCATCCATATGATGACCTGAAGTGACACAAACCACAACGCCAGAGCTCTCAGCTTGGAGCTGGCTTATGGCTCTCAGGATGGGGCAGATCCCGCCGGCTGCAAGCTCCTTTTGACTCTCGCAAATTTCGCCCAACGTCGCATATTTCAGTTGTCATTTTTGCTGTTTTGTCAGTTTTGCGTGTGACACAACTGGCGACTCGGGGGCAGAAAATGGGTGGCGGAGAAGGTCCTTGGTCCTCCCATCTGTGTGTCCATTGCAACGGCATTTCCGCTGGCAGGCGACGCAGCTGCGGTGGCAACTGCCACAAACAATTTTGACATTGCCGAGCAGAATTGCGAGGAGCCAGCTCCGAGCTGAGATGACACCATTGCCTCGAGCAGGATGCCAGCAAGGATATTGTGAAATCAACGTGATTACGGGACATTAACATGCATGCTCCAACAAGCAGGAACAATTCAGGGGAAGTGCAGAGCTCAGATGTGGCACGTAAGGGTGCAACATTATTGCATTGCCTCATGGAAAACTGTGATTATCTTGTAGTATGGACGCAAACAAAAAATTTCAGTCAGCATAGACAGTTCATTTGTTTGAACATAGCGAACTAAGTTAGATATAGATAGATAATAAAATTGATTTATTAACCTCAATCGAAAATTAACGAAATATAATGTTTACTAGTGCTTAACTTTGAAATTTTGTCACCTTTGTTGCACTGCACCAAAAACGAGTACCAACTATTTAGTAGGCGAATACCAAGGATCCTCCTTGACCTGCGGAATGTTGTACCTGATCTTCACGGGAGCTAGGATGTGCATGATCATGTGCTTGCACTCGCTGGAAGCTGACGGGGATTTCGGGAAGACCAGCGATTGGTTGATGCGCTTGAGCAGGATGTGCACATTGGAGCCATCGTAGGGAAGGCGCCCGAAGACCATCGCATAGCAGACGACGCCGCAGGCCCAGATGTCCGACATGAACGGATCGTAGGCCACGCCTGCAATTATATCGATGAGAGCAATTAGAGCAAAGGATTGCGAAGGGATTCGCAGCTCACCCTTGAGGATCTCTGGACTGGCGTAGGCGTAGCTGCCGCAGAAGGTTTTCGAGAGTATCACTTGGTTGTCAGAGGTTCGGGTATCCTTACGCGCGAATCCGAAGTCGATCAGCTTCAGATTCCAGTTCTCGTCCAGCAGCAGATTCTCGCACTTGATGTCCCGGTGCACCACTCCCTTGCTGTGGATGTACTCCACGGCACTCACCAGCTGCTTGAAGAGCGTGCGAGACTGCGGCTCGTCCAGGAACTTCCGCTCACGGACGTAGTCCAGAAGCGTCCCATTCTCGGCCAGCTGCATGATCAGGTACACCCTGGGTGCAGCATCAGGGCATGGAAACTTGTTCACCACATACACCAACTACACCATCAAGAACGACTCACCTGTGACTGGTCTCGATGCTCTGATAGAAGGTTATCAAATTTTCGTGGTGCAGACCCTTCACCGCCTCGATCTCTCGCGGCAGGAACTTCTGCGTGTACTCGGAGGGAGCCTTCACCTTGGATATGATCTTGACGGCCACCCGCTTGCCGTACTCCTCCGAGAAGCCGATCTTGACCTTGGCATAGTTCCCAGTGCCAATAACCTTGCCGAGGATAATGCCGTGCTCCTCAAGAATGGTTTTCTGTGGCTTCGACTTGTCGTCGGGTTTTGCCGCAATGGCACCCGGTGGTGCCGCTGGTTTCGCTTGTGGTGGCCGGTCATTGAAGGTGTAAACCTTCTGCTCCTGGCGACGACCCGAGTTCTGGTCAGTGACGAGGTCCTGCGATGAGCTACCGCCAATTACTAGGGGAAGTCCAGTCCCATGGTGTTTTGAATAAACCCAATTTTTACTGATACATGCACTTACCTCCGCCTTGGTCGTTTTTCCTTCTGGAAGATGTCGCCATTAAAAGGGGTACCACAAGTACAGTTCACCAGCAACGCCAATAATACGAGAATATCGTGACCAAACAAAGACTCATTAAATGTGTATCATATTAGGAAACCAGAAATTTTGCGACCTTCTTTTCAATACTGTGACATACAATGAAAATATATATTTATATTTATGTACTACAAATTATTTCCTACTTCTGATTAGTCTATCTAAGATCAGAATTTCCTTTGCAAAAGTGTCCCACAATAGTACTATAAAAAATACTATTTCTTAAATTAAAAGTGCGTAACAAGAATTAAACCAAGTCTTGTTTATAATAAATAATGAACTACAATGACGGGGCTATTATAATAATAATGCGAGTATAATGATGGTAGTAGGCGTTGAAGTATAAGTAAAATATTTAAGATCTATTATCTTAGCTCTATCAAATAGGCATTTTCAAATAATCGTTATGAATGGTAATGATCCTGCCAACGCGAACCAGTTCCTTTGCCTTTCCGCATGAGTTGGCAGCGCCCGCCCTGCTTTACCGTTACTTTGACAACGACCAACTGCCAAAACAACCAACAAAAAAACTAAACTGGCAGTCACCTAAAAAAGCCCGTAATAAAAACTGACTAACAAGCCGACTAATATTAAGCAAGTAGAGTAGGTGAATTGATGGCGGAGGTGCACATAATCGGGCAAATATTGAAAGCTGTTGACTTTGCCGAGCCGCACCTGTACTGCAAGTGGAGTCTGCAGAGCGGTGAGTTCCCACGCAGCAGACGCAGCTGTCCGGTTCAATCAAACTGATTGCTTTCCAACTCGGCAGGAAACGCCTGGCGCCTGGTTCAGGGCGAGGTGCAGGGCCAGAGTCACGTGGCGGCGCACCGGCTCCAAAGCAGCTCGGACTTCGCCCAGCCGTTGGACATCCACCTGAGCACCGCCTCCGTCCAGGGCTGGCCCCGCCTGCTGGTGGAAGTGTACGCCGTGAACGTACTGCAGCAGTCGTGGCCCGTCGGCTACGGGTTTGTGCACGTGCCGTCCACACCCGGTACCCATAGCCTGGAGATCGCCACCTGGAAGGTTGCTCCCAACGGCCTGTGGCAGTCGCTGCGCGAGCGTTTCGGTGGCGGAGGAGCGGCCCTCAGCAAGACGGATCTGCTCTACTCGGGTGTTGAGCGGTGAGTCAAGGAGATCTTTCCACACTGCTAGGAAAAACATTGCTATTTCAATTTTATATTTCTTCGCCCAGTTACAAGTTGCAAACCCTGAGTTCTGGAAAGGTCATTGTAGAGCTGAACCTTATTTTCCGAAAGTTCGACAAATACGGCGTGGAGTTCAAGTAGCCATGAAAGCAGTGCTGCTACTAGCCGTGCTGTGCTTGGCCACACACCACCCCACACATTCCATTAAAATTGGAATTTCGCACAATTACAATACCACTATTACGCCACCGGCTTCCACTACCACGGAGCCCACAGCCACGACTGCTGCTCCGAGCACCGAAGCGGTCAGCTCCATCAGCACACTGCCGGAGGCGGAGGTGACCACCACTACGCCTGCAATCACCTTTCCACCGCGGGTCCCACAGAAGCCCAAGGTGGCAGCGGCAGCTCCAACCACGTCGACGGCTCCCCAGGCGGAGGCGCTACCTTTGAACTCCACTGAAGCCACCTCCTTGCCGAAGTCCGTGGACCATAGATTTTACTACTGCTCCTGCGATCTTCAGGCAGGCAGATGCGACCTCAACTGCTGCTGCGACAGCGATTGCCCTCCCGAAACTCGCCAGGTTTTTAACTGTCTGCCAAGTGCTTTGCTACCGCAGCTTGAATCCCGCTTGGAGGATTTCCAGTACACCCATGGCTTGCCCACCTGCCAGATCAACGATGGCTGGTTATGCGTGTTTCGCAGCAACACAAAAGCAGCAAAGACCCAGCCACAAGATACGAATATCGATACCTCGCAGTACAGAAAATGGAGGGATTACTTGGAGTACCATGAATCGGACTCCACACAGTCTCGTCCAGTAGCTGGGCACTACAAGTACGGGCAGCTCCTTCAGTTGTGGCAGCCAGAGACTAATCAATTGGCCACCTTAGCGTTGCCCGCCGCCTACGAAAGCCCCAATTGTCAGCTGAGGCAGTCAATCGGGCACTTGCAGCCGATCAGGAACGTCTGCAGGATGAAGGACTCCGCCCAACTGCAGGAGAGTATCTGGGGCCTACTGAACCAGACTTCAACCTACGAAATCCTGTCAAAACCGCGCGATCTGGAGGAACAAGAAGTGAAAGGGCTGATCGTACAAGTCTGCCTAAAGGAAGGCGAAAAGTCATTGCGTTGTCTGGAGCGAGGAAACGACACCCAACTGGACATTATAGTGGATCAAGTAAATCTGCAACTGGTTCACAACTACACAAATATTTTAGAAGCAAAACTCCTTCTGCAGGAGGCCAAACTGGCGGAGGATGACAACGAGCCACTTTGGGTTCGCTACAATGTTGAGTTTATAACACTGAACGAATCGTTGGCCAAGGCCACTTCCGGGTCACTCGGCTACCTAGCTGGCTCCCCCGTAATCCTGTCCAGAATGTCACCACAGAACAGCAGCCAGGATATGCAGCTAATAAGCTATCACCGTTCTAGCCAAAACATGAAAGAGTTTCACTGGCTTTCCCTGCCCTCCAGAAAACCACGAAGCAGCAGCTGCCAGCGCAAACTGGACCACAGGGAAGCTTTGCGCTTCGGCGTGGACCTCCTTACCCGATGTGAACTGCACCACGCAGCGCCCTTGCACCAGGAACACGCCAACCACACCGAGTACTGCCAGGACTTGCAGGCCAAGATATGGAGCCTGCTGTTGCCCCACGACTGCGCCCATCTGGAGGACGTGGCCAAGCTGTTCGTCTCCCAACTGGGCAGACCGGAGCCGGACAAGTGGCTGCCCATGCAGGTGCGCTATCCGGAGAACGCCCACGAGATGCCACCGCCCGTTCAGGCAGTGTACGACGAAATGACGCAGAGCCTGAGCTGTCGGAACATCTTCCTCAGCGTTGGGTACGAGTTCCATGTGGCAGATCTGGCCCTGGTGGAGGGCAGAGCGCCACATCAGCGTGTCCTGCAGCACGCACGCCTGGTTTTGGGCCAGCGGCATTATCTGGAGTTCGACACCAGCGAGATTGAGGTGGCTCTTCCTCTGAGCGTTTCCGCCATGTTCTACCGGATGCACAGGAAAGCCCGCAGCAATGGAGCTGCGGTGGAAATCTCTGACCATTTAGTGCTACTGGAAATGATTTGTCTAGGAACGGCACTTAGATCCTTCAAACTTTTTCTCTAGGCTAGTATTGGGATGTATTTTTGGAATAAAAGCCTAAAACTGATAAAGCTGCGTTTTAAAGAAATATGTATTATTGAGTAGTTCATTGTATTATTATATTTAGATGAGTTTGAAAGCAGCAGTTTTTTAAGCCTATAAAGTTTTTTTACTGTTGCCAGTTGCAAAACGGTGAGGTAGAGGGAAGTGAAAGCTATTTTGTATCTTATAGCGTTGCTTATATTTGTTATGAACATTTCCCAACACAAAAAAGTTTGGAACAAAGTTTGAAAATTGCTTTAAAATGGGACTACACTCTTTCAAAATCGTTGGCAAGCGGAAAGTGTATATTTGCGCTCTCCTCGCACGGTCACACTGAGTTTGAGCGGTAAAAGTGAACGAGATGGACGACTGTGAGTAAAATTTCGAACGTAAATATCAAAATAAGTCAAATAAAGATTCCTCCAAGCCGCCAATTTAAGCGCCAGCATGTGCGACGTGGAGGCGTCTATGCTCAATCAGAACGTGAGCTTCAGCAGCACCATGGTCACGTCCAACGGCGATCTCACGTTGCCCAAGCTGAGCGTGACTCTTTCGGAGGCGGAGATCCAGAAGCTGCGTTCCCGGCCTGCGAAGAACTGCGTTGAATCGCCGAATGCATCTGCGGATGCTGCCGAATCCGCGCAGGAGGATGTGGATGCGGCTGAGGAAGGGGAAGGGGAGAGCGTCGTCGACATAGAGGACACTTTGGAGCTGACGGCGGACGGCAACCAGGTGAAGCCGGACTTCCCAGAGGCTGCAGCTGCTCCTGTCCCGGAGTACTTCCAGGGCGTACTTGTTGAGCTGGGCCGACGCTGCTGGACCTCGTCGACGGAGGCTCAGCACTACACCAAGGGCTGCTACTGGTCACCGGACGGCACGTGCCTTCTAGTACCCGTTCACCTCGACGGCATGCACGTCATGGAGCTGCCCGGCGATCTCTACTCCGCACAAGTGGTGCAGACTCGCCCGCTGAGCAAGCTCCAGTCGGCGGTGCACGTGCCCGAGGGCGGAACTGTCTACGACTGTGTCTGGTATCCGCACATGAACAGCCAGCAACCAGAAACATGCTTGTGAGTAGACACCTCGCTGGCTCTCCGCCAATCTTACATCAATTGCATTTCGACCAGGTGGCTGGCCACGCGACAGCACGAGCCCATACACATGTGGGATGCCTTCGACGGCACCCTGCGATGCAGCTACAGCGGCTATGATGCCGTAGACGAAGTCATGGCGGCCATTTCCTTGGCCTTCTCTCACGACGGCGAGAAGATCTACGCGGGATACAAGCGCTGCATCAAGATCTTCGACACCAGCAGGTGAGCCGGCTACTTATCTCCGTAGACCATTTAATCCAGCTCTTACTCCACTCCACAGACCCGGTCGTCTTTGCGACGATTACCCCGTCAAGTTTGCCATATCCTGCATTGCCCAAACTACTGACCACCCAAACACTCTGACCTGCGGCAACTGGCATGGCTACATCCAGCACTTCGACTTGCGGTGCAGCCACAAGCAGGGACCGCTCTTCACGCTGGGCGGGCACAAGGGCGGCATCACACAACTGCGCTACGGCGAGATGGGCTCCGGGAAGTGGCATCTGTTCAGTGGAGCTCGCAAGTGCGACAAGATCTTGCAGTGGGACATGCGCAACTACAAGAAGCCACTGGTGGAGTTGAAGCGCCATGTGGACACCAACCAGCGTATTCAATTCGACTTCACGCCCGACAGCCATTGGCTGGTCAGCGGCGACTCATGGGGATCCGTTAATGTTTGGGATCTAAAGAGATACGGAGATCCTTCCATACTGCCCCTCCATTCCGACTGCTGCAACGGAGTGTCCCTCAACCCAGCTATGCCGATTCTGGCCAGCAGCTCGGGGCAGTTCCATTTTACAGACCAAAGTGCCCAAGGGGACCACGTCACCTTTAACAGCTCGGAAACGAAGGAGTTGACGGCGCTGGGCGAAGTGAATCCAAATGAGCGGGAAGTAATCTACGAGAACGCAGTGGTCATGTGGTGGTGCGGCCAAAGTGGATAACACATAAAACTGGTGTAGTCGAGTAAATATTACAAATCCGTCTTTATTCTTGAATCCATTTGGAAATACTAAAGCATCATGACCGGGTCCAGACTGGTTGCCTTCACCTGCAAGGGAGGAGTGATGGATGTGCGAGAGTAAGTTGGTGTCTGCACAATCAGATGGCGTGGTGAAACACTCACCTAGAACCGTTTGAGGAACTCCTCGGCGCAGGTGCGTGCCCTGGCGTTGACCGCCAGCTTCATCTCGCTGATCTCCTTGTCGATCTCCTCCATGAAGCTGATGACGAAGTCCACCAGCTTGTGCTTGTACATCTGCTCCGTGTGGAAGTTGGTGATGAGGAAGCTGATGTCGTAGCCCTCGATGGGCTTGCGGCGCAGTATGACGAACGACTCGGCGCGGCGCATCATGAACCTGGTGAACTTGTGGCACAGGATGCGCTCAATCTCGTCCGCCTGCTTCACCGCGATGCTCACGCGCACCGAGTTGATGGAGGGCTCGATCAGCACCTTCTCCCGCTCGTTGCGCGAGACCACCACGGGCGTGAGCACCAGCTCCTTGCTGGAGCAGATCTCCACCTCCGGCTTGTTGTGCCGCTCCACCACCTGCGAGGGGAAGTCCTGCAGGCACATCGCCGCCGTCAGCGAGTGGCGCACGGCGGTCAGGTAGGGCTTCAATGTGGCTGCCATTGTGTGTGGGTGTCCGGTTGTTGTCTGTTGCCTCCGGTAAGTTGTATCTGCACTTTTTACTTAACTTATTATGATTCACAGGCCCTGGAATTTATCAGCCAGAAAAAGTGTGACCCTGCGCCGTAGTCAGGAAAATACCACTGCCGAGGTGCGGCCACAAAAACATAGCGTGATGGACTCAAGCAAACACAATAATTTAGGGAAATGTAATAAACAATACAATTGTTATTAAAGCTGGGTATTAATAAGAAACAGCAAGCTTATACGTTCAATACTAATCGTGCTCTTATCGAATGTGCCCTTCAAAGCCTTTTTGTGTTGTCCAGTGTTAGGCTGGTAGGAAACCTGACTATTATCCGAGACCCCATCCATCGTTCCATTTCCATTTGTATCTCACCATTTTGAAATTCTTAAAAGTTGGAAGAAATTTTTTAAAATCCAATTTAAGTTTAAAGCAATTAGAGGCAAGTCCATTTGATCTTTGATTGCTTAAATCGACGTTAAATGTTTTCGAAACCTCAAATACATGTACACTATAATTATTTTGAGGCAGAAAACTTCTAGTAAATTGACCCAAGTGAACCAGCAAAGCGGAAAAAAACAAATTTAGAAAAAACAGCGTCCACCAATTATAAATATTTCATTTATTTGTTTTATGCACTTTTATTATACAATTGTTATAAGTATTTTGCTCGCATATGGTCAGTTATTTGTGGCTTAAATGAACTTAAATTACGCGTGAACCTAGAAAGTGAGTTTTTAAGCAATCGTTCAAAAATGTAACCCTTTCCATTCAATACTCAAAAATGTTTCGGTTGATTATTGCATTGGATTAGACATTAATATATCATAAATTGAGTAAATATCAAAGCATTTGTATCAATTGTATTGATGCTTTACGTTTATATTTTCTTTGTTTTTCTTGAGTATGCTTGAAAGTTTTCGTGTCTGGGTAATTTGGTGTCCTGTGCGTGTAAGTTGCGTTGCCAATGCATTTTTATTAAGAGATTTATGTTATTGATATTCATTTGTAGAAGCCATAGTTTTACACGAGTACACGTACATATATAACGATATAAGATTTAAATTTAAGCTAATCTTTAAAGCGCCCTTTGGTGCAAAATTAAGAATAACTCGCAGGTTTTGGAAAAAATTTTCCTAAATATTCCATTTGGTTTGCCCTAAATACTTTTTATTATAACCCCCACATTCACTCTTCTTAAACCCATTTCTAAAAATAACCCGACGTTAGACAAAATATGCATTTCCATATAATATTATATGTAGTTCCTCTTCATTTATATTACGGTCTATATCAGCGTTTTTAGTGTTTGTGTTGTATGTAAATAAAACAAAAATGCGTTTCGTGTGTTTTACATGGTATTTGATTTTATTGAATTGTATAAGCATTTCTTATGTATTTTTTCTGTTAGACATTTATTTTATAGATAGAAAATGCGAAACTTATAAAAACAAATTATTCGTTAGTGTAAACTATGTTCAGCAAGTATATGTATCTTGTTGTTGCAAGTTAGTAAATTAAAATTAACACTAAAGTATACATTAACTTAATTTAAAACATTTTTCAAATTTTTACTCGCGATAGCCTTTCATAGATGCAAATACAGCGTGCTATTAATATTTTGAGAATACCTCAGTCGATGCCACAGCAATTAAATAAAAAAAACTTGAACATTTAAGACTAAGACTTTGATAATGATGAATTCAAAACTAATCCAAAACATTTTTGAAACTCAGGGTAAAGTTTTAAACTTTCAACTGAAATTAACGTGAACTTTTAAAAGAATTTTAAATTTTAAATGACAGGCATTCAACTTGCATAGGCTTTTCTGCCAGGGCTTTTAAGTTTAAATGTAGATATCCTTGACTAATTGTTTTTTGTATTAATTTGCCGTAAGCATTCATTTCTTTTCGCTTTATCGTAGCTTATTCGTGTAAGTGTTTCATTATAGAGCTCGTGAGAAAGTGTCTTATTCTTAAACGGCTCAACTCGCTCAGCGGTATCTTGAGACTTTGCCCTTGCCCTTCGTTTGCTTTCATAATACTTGGAAATTTTGAGAAATCGGTTTCAGTTTTAAGGGTTTTCTTGCTTAAATATGTGTTGGTGTATTATGCAGTGTTGCTGTTCTTTTTGTAGTCGACTTTTGTTTGCAGTGGGTGAGCACAGCTCTCGATGCAAGATGCAAGATGCAAGATCGGCCTACTTAGCCGGATGAGGCAATGGCGCTCTGCTGACCATCCAAATCCTGGGCCTGTGCCTTGTTTTGGCGCACTATCTCAGCACGGCGTTCCTGAAAGTAGGGAAAGCAGTCAAGGATTAGTATTCGTTTGCAGCTGGAGGTGCAACTACTGCCAAGTGCTACTCAAACAATAAGGCAAATGGTCGCTTTTACTGGGGGAACGGAACGTACGAGTTTTTGAACTTTTTCAATTTTTTTTTGCAATTCCTTTTCGCGGTTCTGCTCGGCGGCGAACAATTTGTTCTCATAAATGCGCGCTTTCTCCTCGAGCTTTTGACATTCCAATTGATCGTTCTGCGATTTGATTTCGGCAATTTTGATTGTGTTCTAAATGAGAGGATATAAGAAAAATGAAAAACCAAAATTATATGAACGCATGATAACTTATTTATAGTTCGTACACTCAATGACTAACTAAATGGTATGTAAGTGCATAAAACGAGTCTACATTATTGCAGTCCAGTCAAATTGATGTGTCATTTCAATTTCATATTCCAGCAATAAGTGTAATTAATGTATAGAATAATTGTGTAGACGGATCCATCATTATAAATACTTGCTTAAAGCTAAGTAACGTAATTTGAAATAATTATATACATTAAATCATGTTACCATACTAAACTATGATTAATGCAAACTTTTGACCATGCTTCACACACTCACATGCTCCTTTAGGCGATTCAACATTTTCTTGATATTCTCATCACGAAGAGATTGGGCAATCTTCAACTTCTCCTCGATTGCCTTCTGCTCGTTGGCCTTCTGCTGCTCGAGAGTCTCACGCGTCTTTTCGATCTCCTGGGCATGAATCTTTCGAAGAATGCGAAATGGTTGGGAATGGTTAGTTAGGAATTTACTATGGGATGCAACAGGTAACCTTTAGCTTCTCCTTCATGTCACTGATGATGGCCTCTCGCTTCTCCACGTGCAGCTCCATTTTCGACTCCAGCTGCTCCTTGGTCTGAGTAATGAACTCATTGGTGATCTCATCCTTTTTGCGAGTCGCCTCCTCGACCTTAGCCAGCTTGTTGGAGATGTCAGCCATCTTCTTGGCTTCTAGAGACTGTGGGGAGACACATTTTTGTATTTTTAAATTTGTAAATTTCGTTATGTCTTTAATATGCTTACAATACGACGTTCCTCGGCCGCCTTAAGTTTCTGCTCAATCTCCTCGACGCTAACGTTCTTGCCGGGGGTGACCGGCCGTTTGGGAACGGCTACATTGGGTGCCGGCTCGGCCAGGATGACCTCATAGCTCAGTCCCCCGCGGGACTTCTCCTGGCAGCGAATCTCTGTGGCTGTGGACGAAAAAAAGCAAAGGGAGACTTAGAGTAATTCAATATTTGTGCACTTGGGGTGCATCGAATAGTTGTGGTTGAGGGTGAACCTCGTTCAACCCTCCAATTGGCTTTTCCCCATCAAAACAACATGACGTCACTTTTACACTTCCTCCCCCTAAAAACTTAACTTTCTTTTGTTCTTTTAACCAGTAAGTTATTACCAAACGCTAGAGAGAATAAGGATTTAGTGTTGCATCGAAAAATCATCGCCTCAATATCGCTTATCAGAATCAACATAAATGTTTGTCTGTTCAATATCTTGTAACACATCTACAGTAATTTGTAGAAAAAATCACATACAAATGAACAAACAAGAAAGAGATCCATCAACTGGGATGCAGGACAAGGGTAGGACATCTAATGAAGTGGAAAATGATTTGTCAAAACCAAACTATGTATATACTATTCTTGGAGATAACGACAACTGGAGATGTTGCCACGGCAGCCGCCAGTGGACACCTTTTATATGTATCCATATCATTGTTGACACACATTTTGCTATTATTATGGAGTGTTGTCAATGGTGACACAGGCTTTCAGGCAATCACAATGAGTGCGTAAAGATTGTTTACCTATATGTGTGAACATGGTTTAGCATGGTGTCGTTCCTCACCAAATCTGTTCTCTAGATCATTCTTAGCCTTCTCCTCCAGCAGGTTCACCAACGCAGCCGCATCCGCGGGGTTCAAGTGCATCTCAGACAGGTGTAACTGCAGCTCCTCGGCGAGAAAGCCCTTCTTCCTGCAGAAGGTGCAGTTATAGCATTTCGAAGCTTTGTCGCCGTTTAGCAGCTCCTCGGCGTTGAAGAATTTTTCGAGGAAGGACCGATGGTAGATGACCTTAATGGTGTGGTCGTCCTTGTGCGTTAGCGTGAGCTGAAGACGGCCCTCATCAAAACAGTTGCCGCAGTACACGACCTTTGACCCGCAGTCACTGCACTCGTACCGCCGCTCGAAGTCAGGGCGACATTGCTGACAACCCATGCACTTGGTGAGTATTGCGGAGAAATTGGAGCCCATTGCAAATGATATCTCAGATGTCGGCTGATCGAAGTTCAATTTGGCGTCGTAGCTGGGCTTATAATGCTTTATTTATATTTTTTTCAGCTTAATACTCAGATGTCGGAGAAATGGTTTTCAATAACAAATACAATCCAGTCTAGCCCGGAACAAAATGGAAAAGTGCTGCCTACTAGATGTACAAATAAGATTTTGTGGAACTGCTTTAACTAGCCAGCGAAAACCGAGAACGAGAAAAACGAGAAAACCTTCCTATTACTTTGCAAAGCCAGAGAAAGTAAGATTTTTTTTGGTCATAGGCACACCTGTTTATTCAACAATACAACATATGTAATTGTGAAAATACCGAGACATATTTTCTACATATGATGGCTGGATGTCTTTCTATTCGTCCTGCATGACCATATCTATGAAGCCGATGATTTGAGAAACTCCAGACTCTGAGAAGTCGGAACCCGAAGCTTCGTCGCCCTCATCACCGTTTTCATCCTCGCAGCTTTCCTCCTCCTCCTCCAATCCGTTTTCTTCGGCAGGCAATTCGCTGGCCTTTTCCTCTGGTGCGCCAGTCGCATCCACCGCTTCATTCCCAGACTGATTACTATTACCACTTTCCAAATCATCCGAGCCGGAATCAGCTGAGGGAATATCGTTAAAACTTGCGAAAAAAGGCGAGCCGGTTGGTTCGACTGACCCTTCGATTGCCTTGCTGTCGGCTGTCATTTCGGCCGGGTAGCTCATCCAAGTTTTGTACTCAGCAAGACCCTTGTAGAAGTTTGCCATCAATTCCACGGGTTGTACCGGATACAGCAATACTTCCCCATTCGGTTTGAAATTGCCTGACGGCTTGACTGCATGGGACATCTCTTGTGTGGCCGACAAGAAATTCCCAGTCCAGGGCAGACCACATGGCAGCTGGGCTAGCTCTTCGTCTGCCAGCATCGAGCAGAATATGGCCTCGATAAAACTGACTTTGAGCAACTTGGTTTCCCACTTTTTGCCATTAGCTTTCTCATCCCAAACTAATTTCGAGCATAGAAAGCGCTTATCCTTGAGCGGCGAAGCAATGACTGTTGAAAGCTTCTTGGCAGGCTGAGTTCCTTGCGCCTTAGATTGCGTCGGGACCGGTCGATGCTTGGCTACCACTGATCCCGTCCTTGCGCTTGAAGAAGACGAAGCCACCGCCGCTTGGAGGGCCATCCCGATGGGTTCGCCGGTACGCCTAGCAGTCTGTCTGCGTACCGTTCCCGTCTGCCGGTTAACCAATGCGGGCGCGCCAGCACTCATCCCAATAGCTGACGCTGTACTGGAACCAGGACCGCCCAGACGCTGCCGGCGAACGGCCATGCTAGCCACCACCTGATCTTCGATGACGCGAACGTACGACTCAATCGCCCCCATTTCCGGCATTCTGGAGTTGCTGTGCTGGACAATCAGAGCTTCGGACTGCTGCAGTATCTCATGGCAGCGTTCGGGGAAGTCGGCGGCAGTTGAATCTATAGTGTCCAGCTGCAAAACCATTAGGGCCAGGTTGAAGGCGGCCTCAAAGAGCTGCTGGGGCCGCTGTTCGTTACGCGTGCTGCCACCTGGTAGCGGACGAGCGCTTGCTGAATTGGGTGCTCGTACCGGGAGCGTGCGGCCAGAAGCCTGCGACGTCGATTGCCCCATGGCGCTGTCCGCCAGATAGAGAGCATTGACCAAAGTCAGGTAGGCCTTGTGGTCACAGTGGGTGGAATGCGACTGCAGCAGGTGCTTGTACAGATTGGCGGTAGACAGGCCGCGCTCATCGCACAGGGCACACTTATAGCTCTGGGCCACTAAGTGGTCGCCTTGGAATGGCTCGCCGCCGAAGTACAGCTGGTACTCGGCGTAGGCATAGTACACCGTCAGCGGATGGTAGTACAGGTGCTGAGGCGCCTCCGGCAGCCGGTTGGCATCGAAGCACTCGCCGCACAAATTGTAGTCGGTGCAGAACCAGCAGCTATAGCGGCGACCCAGGAATTCGGATTTCGAGCAGTTCCTGCAGCGGAAGCCATAGTGGCGCTCCGGCGGATAGCGCATCCGATCGGCCATGATGCTTGAGGAGATTCTGGCTGATTCGATGGAAAGTAGGCTTCGGGATTGGTGCACTATTACTGTGTAATAGTAACCTCGTCGATGGCCAATTTAGCGCAGATAAACGTTGGCGAACAAAAAACGCAGAAGTTGCTTAATTTTGTTTATGATATTAGAGCCGCCTATTTAGAATTGGGAAAGTGAGCGGCCTTGCCTTTGCTTTATTCGTCTCAAGAACTTACTTTTTCACTTTAAACAAATCGCCTTTACTCGCCAAGAACAATTATTTGACTGACCTACTGTAGAAAATCGAAGCGAAAAATTAGATTGAAAGCTAAACTCTCAAAGGCGCTGCCAACTTGATTCTATTAGCACTCCCGAAAAATCCCGAAAATACGGGAACACGTGCCCGGCAATTTTTTTTTCCTGAAGATATTTCTTTGTGTAATAACATGTACTTTGCAAAGCTTCGTTAAGTCATCAAAATAGAGTGATTTTGATCACAGTTTCGACCTTAAACCTTTTTTTTTTATTTTAAATGCTACTTAAAATGTTCGCATTTGTATTTTTATACGTTGTCAATAAGTTGCAAGTCCCTGCATATCAAATTTCCTTGAGTTTTAAGATATGTTGCCACTTTTTTAAGAGGAAGTCGAGTAATGGGTGTCTCAAAGTTGGAACAACTTGAATAGAACATACGCATGGCTTGTTTATACATGGAACTTGTGTTGTATACGTATGCATTAGGTTTTCCTAAGTAAACTTACTGAGTCATTACTGTTTGTGAAGTAATGCATTTTATGTGCTGAGGACTGTAGACTGCCATATTTTGAATATGAATTTCCGTTCCACTCTACTCAGGCATTCCAACTCTTTAGGTGAAACTAAAAGCCTTCATTAAAATAATAAGCATCATTATTATAATGAAAAGCACCGTAAAATGCATCCACAAACACAAGCATATGTACCATGCCACGCAATGTTGGCCTCAATTACATTTTTGCAAATTACGCGAAAGAGAAAGCGAATAGGTGGTGCACCTCGTGTATTTTGAATTTTATGTAGTTTACAGAAGGGTCTTCCAAATTAATATAGTAAAAAGCGCCGCTGACATTTCACGATTTTAATTAAAATTCGAGACCCATTTCAATAGAATTCATGGCGTGTGTTCATGGGCTGGTTAAATTGAATTTCTACCAACTCTGGCGGTCCTTCGAAAACATTGTTTCCGATCCCTGGACAATATAGTTATGTAAATCAGTGATTTTACTCACAAACAATAGTGCAGGAGTTCACTGAAAGCAAAAATGTTTGGGCCCAATAGCTGTAGGATTAATAAAAGTGAATCTCACTTGAACTGGAATGCGAAACTCTTGATGTTCTCAGTGTAATGGCAAAAGGAAATAGCACTTTAATAATTATGGCACACAGCCGAAATATGCAGAGCAATGAAAATGGAAAATGTGCTGAAAACTAAGAGGACGAAAATTTCACAGGCCCTTAAGAACTTTGTGTCGTCGCCTTTTCTTAATATCCCTAAAAGCATTTTAATTTGCATTTAATTAAATTGTTCGCATGAGTCAGCAGGATTGCTTGGAGAGCGCACACTAAAGAGTTTTCCCCCATTTCCCAATTTAGTCAAACCAGTTAAAGTCAAGCAGTTATATTTTCATTTTATACGCAAGTTTAGGTTTCTGTTGAGGTGGGTGTGAAAGGTTTTAGGTAAATGAAATATTGTACAATAAAAGGCGTGTTCTCACAGCAAACCAACAATTTTACTTACTATTCAAAGGCAAATTAATGGCCACCATTGTAAAATGCACACGGATACACGGGACGGCGAATAGTTTTATAAAAAATCTAATTTTTTGTGTTGCTCTGCAAAAGCTGTTGTCGCGCAGATATTCGGTGGCCAACTGAAGGGAGTGACTAAAAGTGTGATGAAGCCGGCAACGGGCCACAAGCGACATAAAAATGTTGGCTACACTCGCACACACACTCACACACACACACACACACTTTGGACCTGGCCTGCAGGATTTGCAGTTTTTATTTCAGTCGTGTAGCATAGTTTTCGGCCTGTGCTGCAAAGCCGAAAAACAAACGGCGGCTGTCGCTCCCAACGATGTACACATATTGCTGTTGCTACTTTCCGGCGACAGACGACTGCCAAGTGGACCCCTCGCCTTGGTCCTTGGACGGCCCCGTCGATGGAGCAGTCCACTGGAGGGGCCCCTAATTGCTTTCGGTTGCCAGCTGAGCACGACGATATCGCCGGGAGGAGCAGCTGATGAGTCAGCCAAAGCAGCACTCCGATGGAGGCATGCGGCATGCACGGAAATTCTATTAGAGTTTGAGTTCTGCTGTTGCTGGTATCGCACCAGGGGATCGAAACGCAAGCAGTACGAGTAGAGCATGTTTCCATGTCTGGAGAAAGCTAGCTGAAAATTTGAATTCCCAAAAACTTCAGTTTGAACGTCGTACATTCAATACATCAACTATCATCGGTGTAATTCCTTAAACAGAGTATGTCCAAGTAAATCCATAAGGTACAAAAAATATCCATACTTAAGAGATAGAGATAAAATATATACTTCGTATTCTTTAGATTGTTAATATACTACTTTAAAATCGCCTGATGATTTTCTTAATGAGAGAGAAATTCCTTGAGAGAGTATAACATGTACTACGTTCGACAACGTGCCACAATGTTGCCCCTTGATTTTCGTCTGTGGCACGTGACTTTTAGTCAGTCTCGCTGGCATTGATTGCCTCAAATGTCGCTAGCATGACTAAAAGACGATTTTTATATTGAAGTCTGGAAAAAACAGCAACTTGCCAAGTAAAATAGAAGCCACAAGTTAATGCGAGCACTATACATTTTGAAAAAAAAAACGTAATTTTTTTTAATATTTTGTAAGCCCTATTTGATTGATTGTTAATATTGGAATATTGTGAGGGTTTTATATGCGAAACGCTCACAATATTTCACACTTTAGTATGTGGCAGGTCCTTTTTGTGGCATGTAGCGTGGTAAGCCGCTGTACGTGCTGTTTTAGGTAGTTCAGCAGAACCGTCCGTGGTTCCCTGGGGTTTAAAGTATTGGCCAGGAACAGGAACAGGCAAGACACGAAAAAAGGCAACTACACCGACTTAAAAGTTTTTGCATTATGTAAAAAAAACTTATTCGCGTCGCTATGTACCCTGTACATATGTATGTCTACATCTTATATAGTTCCCTTCTTCTGCAATTGAAAAAGACGCAGTGACGTGTTATTTGCAAAAAAAAAAGAGTAGGAAATAATACAAAGTCAGTCGGGCAACAAAAAACACACATTTGTTGGCCACTGCAGTTTATCACCTTGGAAATGCGGCTAAATGGCTATACAACTACCACCTTTCCGTTACCTGTGTATATAAATGGGAATGTGTATGGAAAAGGCTAATGCACTATTGATTTTCCGATAGTTTTCCCAGCGGTAGGTACATTTTTCCTCTATTTTCTGCGCTCGTTTTTGGTTTTCTTCGCACTGATTGCGAGAATGAAGGGTCCTGTTGGTATGCGTCAAATGTTAGGTGCTCTATAGCGCCACGCATTTTAATGTAAGACGATTTCAAGTTGGAATACCAACTTTTCCTGGTGTTTTCTAAATATGATTCTCTTGATTGGTTCCATGACATTCTGATAGATTGTGGTCAAAAACTGGGAGCACTCGTCTCATCCCAGATGTGCATGTGTGTGTGTGGGAAAACAGCGAGAAAGAAGAACAGAGGAAAGGCAATCCAAAGAAGGAAAAACTTAAGCATACTTATGTGCGCTTAATGAAGGAAACGACATAAAAGCCCCGTCTAAGTAGCCATTGTTCCCTCGAAAAAACGGGAAACAGAAGGAGTGAAAACTACTACCATACCGAGATGCCAAGAGTCGCTTAAAACAAGAGTAAATAGTGTTTGCATTGAAGGCATTTACTTGAGTCCGGACAATGAAAGCCTAATTTCCACGAAAGGCGTCGCCGGATTTAGAGATGAAGGGGAAGGAAGCAAGGAAAATGCAGAATTACAGGTAATTGCGAACAACTGTTGCTTCTAAAATTATGTGTTGTACTCCAACGCTTGGCTTAAAAGGTATTCGCTTCTTGTATCAAATTGAGAGCATTTGCAGAAAAAAGTGACTCGACTATCTGATACCCGTTCCTGTGGTAACATTTGCTCTGCACAATGCCGCAGTATAAATATGGTTTTGATATTGCAAATATTGGAAGAAAGAGGAAGTTGGCTACGCTTGTCTTTATTGGGACTTCTTTGACATTCTCCATAATCCCTTTTTGTAATAAGAAGCAAGCGGATCCGGGGTCAACCTGTTCCACATTTATGTTTGCAAGTTTCACAATTAAAGTTCCCTTGCACTAACTTTTAGCTTTAATGACAGCACGATGCTGTGTGTCGCAACTACCATTCCCTCTTAGCCATGACTCAGAACAGGGGCATCCAATTTTCTCCACTAAGTCGCCATACAAGGATACGTGTCTCGTAGTTCGGTTTTATGAGCGTTTAAATTAGTTGGTCGCCATCGTAGTTTTTGCCTTTGTGGTTGTGGCGGCTCAACCCCCGTGACGATGGCGATGGTGTATTGTTTGCCAAGATTGTTTTATGGCCGGTTGCCGTTTACTTTATTAGTCGCCAACATGCAGGTGTGGTAAGAGTCCTTCTGCCACGCCGGATACGTCAGCATACGAGTATCGTAGTGTGCGTGGTTGTGTTGGATGGCCGGCTGTAATTAAAACCGAACCTACGGAACCAGATACCGAAAACAGTCGTCAATGTGGCGCCGCAATTAGAAGGCGAACGAAGAACTTTCCATGACGAACTTCAATCTAATTAAATGCGGTTCTCTGATTGAAGAGCTTTGAGTATCCTTTCGGTATTTGATTGATTTATACCAATGGATACCAAAGTTTAGCAGCAGATAAATATTTTAAAACATAGCACTCAACACCCTTCAAAAATGGAATTCTTAAGGAGAATTCTGAAGGCTTGCACTCCGTCACACCACAAAAAAGACGTTTTCTGATGCATTTTTATGAGGATACCATTCCGCATTTTAGTAAGGCTCACCACGCCTGTAACGCATAAATAACAATTTTGAGGGAGAAGACCACTGTTGTCTCTTCTCAGGACAGCAATGAAAATATTTGCCAGCAACACATAACATAGAATAGGCATAAATCCATGACAGCAGATGTCAAGCCAGTTTTGCCTCTGCTTCATTCGAATATTTCTGGTTCCCTTTGGGCCCTGAACATTCACACTGGAATGTGGCTAAAAGCACAACGATACGGCGATTTGGAGTACTGACTCAGTGGGTTTCATAAAAACACATCGAGAGGAAAATGTAACCAAGAAGACGGCCCTGTTCACTTTGCTCTTATGCAATTCATAAATTGTGGAGCGCTGCAGTAAAATGTTTTAAGCGAATGTAGAAAACTGAACGAGATAACCATTTGTCCTCAATGCCCCAGCTGCACCCTTTTCACTGCACAAGGATTTCCCATGTCGCCCATTTTGAGGTCAAACCTTCTCCAATCCCATGCAGCTCTCATTTCCCGCAGCTTCCCCACTCTGCTCGAGACATTTGTGGATGTCATTTTCACTGCGTTTTACTATCAGCGCATGTCCCGTTTTTACCCATTTTCCGCCTCTTGAATTATGCGGTTTGCTTGCTGAAATTGAGTTTTTATAAAAACCATATATGGTTTGCACTTCCACACATTCATTCCACCCATTTTCACTTCCATGCTTTTTTTTATGCATTTTATCTGATTCATGCATTGCTGGACAATAAATTTAACATAATTAAAAACTTAAGTGCTCAATCCAATCACGTGGAAGTGCTTAAATTAAATTTTAAAGCATTTTCATTAAGGCCTATTAAATATATAATTGTGCAGGTTACAGTAAAGTGTTTTATTTATAATACATTCATTATAATACATTTGTATACTTACTAATAAATTTAACTTTCTTGCTGAGACGCGGCTGCTTGGAGCGAATCTTATTATTTTTCTTGATTGGCGCAGATCTTCTTGACACTATTTACATGTTCCAAAGATAAGTGCCGCATTTTGGATTTAGAAAATATATTTCAACTCATTAGAATGCCATTAACTTATACTTGTTGTGAAATACTTGTTGGTAACTGTTTGACCGCTTTTACTTATGAAAATCTCAGTAGTTTATTTTTGGAGCAATTGCACTGCAGTCGGATTACCGACCTCTGAAGTCGACTACTTTTTTTTTATAATAATTTCTAGTAAATAAATAAGCTTCACAATTTTAAAACGTGTGTCAGGAGAAAAAGAACGAGCTAAATGGGCGAATGTCAGTGTCGTTGTTGAAGTGTTTGATTGCCGGCAGAGGGTTTGGATTGTCGTAATGGGAATGCAGCCATGAATTATTCAACACCAGCCCACTAGAATCCTGCCCAAGTGGGCGCGAATTTAATGGGCAGGAGTGTCCTTTCCGCATAGCATATACAGCGGAGGGATCTTTGCCCACGGAAAACAGAAAAAATGCAGTTGCAAATTTTGACAGGCAAAAAGAAATGCAAAAAAGAAGATCTTGTGTGGAGTTAATAAAGTCTAGACAACTGAGTATCTGATAGATATAATACTTGGATATAATATAGTAACGAAGTGTTGAATTAAGCTGACGATATCGGAAAATGAAAGCGTGATCCAATTTATTGGCATCTGCATGAATGCTACCAGGGAAAGGAGAAACTCGCCTAAATATGCAACTTCATTAATTTTTTCAGTTGGCGACGTTTGCGAAACAGCTGAACCGGAAAGCGTGGAAAACCCACCAAAGGAATGAAAATTAAGTAATGTTATGTATGCGTCTGTTACGTGAGCCGCATGCAAAAGAAGAGGGTGGGGAAACAAAGGAAACTGAGGAGCCTCCTGCTTGAATAATATAGAAAAATGCGCCTGGTACGTGTCAGAGTTGAACATGTAGTGATAAGATATACTCGTATATCTCGTAAATCGAGTTAAAAAGTTGCTTTAAGCCTCGGGTAAAATGCGGAAACAAAAAACTCAGTTATATGAGCTGATAAGAAGAGTGAGAGAAACTAAAGCGTAAAGGAAACAATCGAGTTAATGGAAGCCGCACAACTGTACGTGATTTAATTAAACAAAGTTAGTTACAACTATAGACTCAGGGAAGTAGAAAGAAGTTAATTAATTGGCGTTTAAAGTTCTTTAAGAGGTAAAGTGACAATAAAGACACCGTTGATGACCTGTCGATATTATAACCAAAAACACTGCAATCATTGAAGGCTTTTAATGGCCTAATTCAAACTACTGATTCTGATCTGGAATATACATGCCTATTTAGCCTAAGTGTTGGTAGTCGCGTGTCCGTACCTCAATTTTGCTTCTGGTTGCCTCAAGGACATTTCGTTAATGAGATGCACCTTCAAATTCCCTTGCTATGCAATGCACTTCAAAATGCATCATCCAGTTACTAGCTTCATCCTGTCGAGAAGATTTGAATGTGACTTAACCAAATTAATTTCCTAACCGACCTCAAATTATGGAGATGGCCGTTGGCTCTGCGTCTTTGTGTGTTGCAATGTGGTTTAAACTGATTTATGCCCCAAAGGAAGAAGCTGTGCAGCTGTTCCCTTAAACTCAAAAGCCCTAAATGGCATTAATGCAACTACTGGCGTGCTTTGCGTGTTGGGCGATTGTAATTTATCTAATTGCTTCTCGGTTTATTCATTTCTCTAATGAAGTTTGCCATGCTGAGCATTGTGATGGATTAGGTTTGAAAAGCATCCAGGTAGTCAATAGATTTCTTGATTTATCAATTTGCTGCCAGAGAATCTCTTTTGAAACAATCAATATACAGGTATATTATAGGCTTAGGAAATTTCAATTATGTGCACATCCCTTCCTAAATGCCACATTGTTCAATTTCAAATGAATCCAGCTCATAAAGTTAACATCTCAATCGTCACGTCTACAATGACAACCAGAAGTTATGCATTGTGGCAAGCACCTCAGAGGTCCTGGTCCTTCTCTATAAGGCGGAGCCCCATTCCACCATCGAAATAGGCAATTTCGCATGTCGTCAGACATCGCTGCTCTATACATGGCCATTTTCATTGTTTTTTTATATAAGAGCCGACCCGGCGCTGTCAATAAATCAATATACGCCGTCCTTTGTCGTCATTTCCCTTGTGTTCGTTGGTCCGTGTGAATATTGCGCAATCACTTTGCCTAATGTGTGTGAGTGTTTGCCATTGTTTGCGGTGATTACTGCGATTTAATATCCCAATAGAATAAAAATAAAAATAACATGTATAAATCAGCACATAACCGAACTAAGTGTGCAATCTAGACATTCGAATGCACTGAAATGAGCCTGCAAGGTCCTTGGCTGCCATGTTGTGTTGCCCAAATTAAAACCCAGCTCCACAACCGACGGTGACTCACCGCTGCCGGCTGACTGGCGCCTCAAACGAAAAACTCCTTAGTGCCTTACCCCTACCTTGGGGTTTTGTATATTATTTTCCGTTTCCGTGCCGCTTTCCCATGCTACAGCAAGATTTTTCTACCGCTTCGTGTATTACACAACTGATTATCAAAAGATCTCTGGCGTAATAGCAAATCCATGGCAAAATCAGTTTATAAATTAAGGAACAGAAAAGGTGTCTATAATGTCTATAATGTCTATAGATGTCTATAATGTAATTCTATTATCCTGAAAGGAATTATTCATGTTTTCAACTTAAGGTCGAGTCTATTTCTTTCAGTGCAACCACATTGGCTGACATGCAGATTGATGTACATACATATTGTCTATTTTTAGGGGGCCTGGCCCATTGCGAATTTTACGGACGGACTTGCGCTCAGACTGCGGATGATCAAAAGTATCCGGTTAGACGGATTGCGTTGGGTCAAACAGTTACCAGGACTCGAATGCGCAGTTCCAGATGATCCTTACCCGCTGGCAGAATTCCAGGTGCTCGGCACGTGTGGCAGAAGCACTGCATCACCGAGTCGCGTACTAATCCAATCAGCATCGTGGTATCTGGTTTCTTTCGCACAACTATAGAACTGGTAGTGTAGATTGCTGGGATATGTGTGGTCGGTCTGCTTGTTGCCGGTGTGTTTTATTTTACTTTATAGCTTTTCTCGCCAGCCCAAAAAATCAATTTGTTGCACCGCGAATTGGATTCGATTTTTTTGTTTTTTTTTTTTGTTTGTTGTTTTGCAAGAGGGAGAGCAACCACTTGCTGCTGAGCCGAATTGAACTTGATTGATTCGATTAATGCGTATTGCAGCAGTGTAGCTGAAAAGTGTGCTACGAAATTTGTATTTGATTGCGCGACGGTGTGCCTTTTGTTATTGTTATTGTTGCCACGGCCCCAAATCTGTGTGTCCTGTGAAAACGAGAGAAGGTGGCGACGATTCGTAACGAGCACAGCGAAAGACAAAGACCAACTAAATTATGCCGAAGTTAATTTTTCAGCAGCAGGCGAACGACTGACGACCACTTTTTGCTGGCGCCAGCGTGGCGTCGAAATTGGATTCCGATTCGGATTCGGAGTTTTGGCGTCGGCGTCGTTGTCGTCGTCGTCGCCGTCGGAAGGCAAGGACAGTGCACACACAAAAGGACGCAGGACACACCACCCTGGGTGGGGGGCTGGCGGGGGTGTGGCAAGAGCACCCCCAGCTCACAAGCGCAAAGAGAGTGCAGAGCGCAGAGCGGCCAGGAGAACGAGAGAGCAGAAAGCTTTGAATTTTTGTAGGGGTGCATCTGGAAATGCACTTGGCACTGCCAAAAATTTGAATACAACTTAAAGTCTACGTAGTAATAAGGATCCCATTGGAAAATAGGAGTTGGGATCGTCTGTGTACAGGACTTGGTTTTGAAATTCGAAATTTCGAAATCGTCGTTTTCGAAGTTCCAAGCCTGCGCAGTGGCGAAAAGCGGAGCACCAGTTCGTACCGAGAGCAATCGATTGGGAGAGCGGAAAAGGGCGCGCTGAGCCGCATAAATGCATTCGGAAAACCGGCTGGTTTTTGTATACCGAACCATTGGAACCTTAAGCCAAAGCAAACGGATATGCACCTACACCAGCGGAACCATCAAACACACTTGGAAATCTTACAAAATACTTAGGGCTTTAATAAAAAATGTAATTTTTGTTAAAGATTTTATTTAAAGATGAAAGATTTATTTTGTACTAAATATTAGCTTGGCGATTACCTTACAAAGTCAGGAAATAGTTTAAGTAAAAAAGATTTTATAGAAAACTTAATATTTTGATTTTCAACTCTGACAGTGTTGAAAAATATTCAAAGTAAGCTAATCAAATTTTGAATTTAAATCGCTAAATTATTTTTGTAATTCGCTCGAATTTTTAATTTCTTTTCTTGCTTTGTGGATGTCTAAAATTCACGTACAATCAATGTTAAATTCAATTAGCCGCACTGCAAATGTCGAAAATAAGAGGGCGAAGAAATTTGGAGAAAAGCGGTAGAGGAAGGACGAAGAGGAAAACTGTCTAGGAACAATAAATAAAACAGCGATGACTCAAATGCAAAACTGGAGATGAGACAAATTCGTAACTGTGGGAAAAAAACTACAAATTTAGGAGAACATTGATTTCTGCAGCTTTTTTGATTCTTAATTTTACACTTTTTTTAAATGTTCTATTTTCACGCACATATATGCCAAGCAAGTTACCAAAAAAAAAAGGAGTTGCCAAATCGAAATATGGTTTATTCTTGGCATTATTTATATTAATCATTCTGTTTCCTAAAACTTAAATGTGTGAATTTCTATTTTAAATTGAGGTCAACAATTTGTTTTATATCCATGGCTTATTAAGGCGTCAGATGCGGTCAGCCAGGACACGATGAAGCTGACAAGGACATTGAGCCGCAACTTAAATGGCAGAACGGCGCCAGCAGAACTCACCACGCTGCAAAAGGCCGATGAATCACAATGTGGATCAAGGGAAGAGTGCAGGGGGAAGTACTCTGTCCGTGGTTTTCTTTCTTGGCAAAACAAAATGGGGTTTTCCTAAAATTTATATGTTTACCAATCATGCTAATACATATTTTTATAACGCGAGGCAGCAAAAGTTAAATGTGGACTAGTTACGTTTTGAAATAAAACGATCTAGATCTGTCCGTTTCTCCGTCTCTTTGTCCGTCCGTATGAACGGCGAAATCCTAAATTTAACATACAAATTTATTTCAAATTTTTATTAATCGCTAAAATAATAAAAAAAAAAAATGAAGTAAGCTAAAATATAATAATATTTTTATGACGCGTTTTGAAATTGCATAACCCACCTATGCATTTAAAGTTAAAGTTTATAAGTTGATTAAGAAACGATTAAGAAAGACAGAACAAAAATATCACCTGAAATAAATTAAGCCAAAAGCTTTAATAAATAATAAATAATTCATATTCATAAAAATAATAAATTAGAAGCACGGCTTTCGGGGAAACATGCTAATCTCTCCTACTTTTGTCCAAGTACACACACAATTTTTGTATAGATTCGTTGTCTGCTGACGACTTATTTTGTTGTTGCCCCAATGTATGACTCACAGCGGCAGACCCCCCATCATCGTGCCCCCTCGTGCACTCCATCCATCCCCACCCACGTGGACGACACCCCTCGGTGCCTCAGTACCCAAAAAGGCGCAACTAAAATGTTTGTAATAACAACTGTCGCCGTCGTCGCCAGCCTCGTAGTCCGTCGTTTTAGTAGTCTCGTCGTGGCCTGTCGTTGCTGAATAAAAGCTACAACCCCCGGCAGTAGTGCAACTAGCCTCCCCCAATCGATTTCCCCCTCTTGTAGGCGACAGGTAGTGCAAAATGAACAGCTGAGCAGCAGCGGTTGAAGTTCAATTGCATGTTTAGGGCACATTATAGGCACAAGTCCTCAGCTAACCATACAGGCACCACATAGTATATACTCGTACATACCATATAGCATATGTATATCACAACCGTTCACCACTTTATATTGGATTGCAAACTTCGAGCCTTTTTGGGCTTACCTACTCTGCCAGTTGCGTTTTATTTGCTTTTGCTTGAGAGGGCTTTTTTGTTTGATCAGGACTTAATTAGCCACTGCGGGTGTTTCTCTAAGATCTTGGATACATTTACATTACAACGGGTTTTCAATTTTCTATTCACCAACACTGACTAAGAACAACGATTTAGATTAACAATACACAACTTTAAAATGTATAAGCTGAGTAATAGGTATGTGGTAGTCAAGGACCATACATTACAAAGTGTTTAACTTATTTTACTCAATATCTTATTCAATTTTATTCAACAAAGTCGAGTAACAATACACAACTTTACAATGTATAAGCTGTGTAATGAGTATCTGGTAGTTGAAGACCTGAACGGACACACTATGAAACATAGCTTTTTTCAGAGGGACTTAATGGGCAACCAACCCTTTGTTTTTGTCTACAAGAAAGGTAACATTTTCTGTTTTAAGAAACTATCAACGCTTTTATTTTTGCAAGTGTATGTTATGGCTTCAAGTTCAAAACGAGCGTCTGTTCCGGCTGTAACTGCAAACCCAAATTGCCGGTATCAGACAATGCAGCCAATGTATGTTTTTTGACATGCTTGTAGGGACGAGGAGTTGAGCAAGGACGACGTTGTAGGACACTATTGCAGTTTATCGAGGGTATGAATCGCGGGTCATCACCGGTACTTTGAACTTTGCGTAAGGCTACACCAGCTGGGGCGTCCGATAATGAAGAGATCAAAAGGATAAAATATTTTGCGGAAGTTCGGTTCGCTTTAAGGCGACTACTGCGGCATTGGCCGTTGGCATTTCCTTTTGTGTTTGTGGGGGGTTTTGTGTGCTTGGGGCTCTATTGGTAATAGAGTAATTCGATATTGGGTGTGGCAGTCACTGCAAACTCTGTTTTTCCGTCGCTAGCTATTGATTTTCCCTTCTGCATCTCATAAAACTCCTTGCTGCAAGTCCTAAGAATGCTTACTTACTTACAACGGCACCCAGATGGTTGATTTCACACTCTTTCGGTACGATGCTATCAAAAGGATTCAATGGCTGCTGATTTTTTCAGGACGTCGTTGACAATCCCACACCCCGCATATAAAAGGTCTAAGCCGGAACAAGTAAAATCGGTGTTGATGGAAGCAAAGAAAACCACTTGAGGAGTTCTAGACCCAGACGACGGCAAGCAACGATTATAAACATTTCAAGCTTTGGTAATCGTGTGATGCAAGCAAGTCACTTTAAGTCTAAGTCACGGAAATCATGGAAAAATTAAATCACTTGTTTAAACGCAACGAAGATGATGTCTTTGAGACCATACCACCCATCCAATAAACCCAGAAAGTCCAATCTCTCGGGTCTAGCTTAAGCAAGACAAAACGCTTTAGTCGACTAACATATACCCATTACTCTCTTTATTAAATATACAGCAAAAACGCTTTAATATTTTTCGATACATGTAAGTTCAATATATTTGAAAAATTTAATTTCTAAAACTATTTTTGTGCAATTCACATCAAAATCTGCTTAGCTAAATGTATACCTGCTGCTGTCATGTTCGATTCTCCTTTTTTAATAATGTTAAAACGTTTTCTTGCCCACAATGACAAGCGCAACACTTGACAATCAAACGTTTCCCCCTTTGTATGTTCTGCCCTTTTTAATGCGCACAAAGGACGCAGGGCAGGAGGACTTTGCAGTAGCAATACACAGGGGATCAGATCAGGGTTCAGAGTCCAGAAGGGTTATCCCTTACATGCTCCACCTTCAGCAGGTCGAATAAATTTGCTGGCGATTTAAGGCGCAACAGCTTAACGTCGAGGATGCTGAGCAAATCAAATTCTAGGGCACAGGCCACACTGCGTCAAATGTGTTTTATATCCTGCCGCGTCCCACGACTTTTCTGTTTGCCACTCTGGTATTTTTTTTTTTTTATATTTTTAATGCCTATCTCCTGTGAAAATTGCGAGGTGCAGCCCCGTTTTAAACCGCCGGGGATATTGTTTAAAGTCAGTCTTGTATGTGCACATAACTTTTTATGGGTAGAAAGGGCAACAGAATATATCCGTGCACACCCCTGCCTTTCTCTTTCCCTCCTGGTGCCCGTGTGTACTGCATGTTAGTGTACGGATGCTGGAAAATTTCAGCTTATGTCACTGGAGAAATTTACGTGCTACCCATCAACGTGGGCAGTCTGGCAATTGCAGCACTTTAAAGAACCGTGTCGAGGGTGATGATATCTGTCTGTCTGTATAGCTCTGGAGCTCCAACAAATAGGATTACAAAGCGCTGGTGAATTTAGGCTTCAAAAACCTGGTCAAAAATATCATCCAATAGGTGGCGCCTCTTGGCAAGAGGTAATATATATTTTGAAAGTTGTTAAGGGAGTGAGGACTAGCAGATAGTCGAGCCACTCGCCAACATCGTTCCTTCTTATTTTTTAGCACTTCCTTTGAGTATTGATCGCACATCAATCCCATTCTTTCGAAAGCCGCATTAAAT